GAACTCCCATTAATTCTTATAGAATAAGGCATGAATACCATCAGGGCTAGGAGATTTAAGACTACCTGTACTGAAAATAGCAGATTTAATCTCTTCTATGGATAAAATAGCATTTAAAGTATTCAACTCAGAGTCCTTAAGGAGGGGAAAGCTAGAGACAATATTGAGAGGAGGGCTATTAGGCCAAGGATCATCATATATATTTTTAAAATAGTTACCAACAATGTTTTGAAGATTCAACTGATCAAATTTCCAGTTATTGGAATCATCTTTGAGGGCTTCAATAGTGTTTTTCTGCCTAAGAATTAACATAGCTCTGTGAAAAAATCTATTATTCCTATCTCCTAGTCTTAACCCATTGGATTTATAATGATGGGCCCAAAATATCTCTTTATAGTCTAAAATCTTTTGATAGTCTCCCCATAAGGTTTTGATCAAATTATTAAGGAAATGATTATCATGACTAGCCACTTTGGAGGAAATACCTCTACTTTTATTTAATAACCGCCTCTTTCTTTTAAAAATATTACTAAAAGTATTGAGATTCCAATCAGAGATATTATTTTGGAAACAAATTATGTTATCAGACCAAGATTTATAAGGAACCCAAGAATTTGTAACTAGGTTAGGAAAATCATTATGATATATCCAAGGAGCCAGGAATTTAAAAGATGAACTTCTAGGTTCCCAATAAGCATTATTACGAATTTTTAACCAAAGACCATAATGATCAGACTTTAAAAGAGGGATGTGAATCAGGGAGCTATTTTGGAATAACATTCTTTAAGAATCAGTAACTACAACCCTGTCAATTCTCTCCCTAATATTTCCTTTATGCCAAGTGCAAGGGTTCCCTTTGAAACCTAAGTCTTGCAACTCACATGTATACAGACAGTCAACAAACTATTGGATAAGGTGGGGGTTAGCTCTCCAACCCCTAGATTTTTCATGTTGATAAAGAATAGAGTTGAAATCACCAGCAACACACTAAGGTTTATTTACTGATTGGCTAAATTTAGTTAATAAATTCAAACATTCAACCTTTAGATTTTCTTAAGGGCTAGCATAAATAGAAGATAAAATCTAGTCCCAATGTCCATGACTAATATTCAAATGAATGGTGTATTTATTGTAGATATTATACTAATTTTAACTTTGTTGGTGTTCCAACAACACCAAATCTCCCCAGCAAAACCCCTAGCATCCACTTTAACAGACCCATCTAAATTAACATTTTGAATGACCATCTCAGCCTTAGAAGAACTGATTCTGGTCTTAAAAAGTGCAATAAAATCAAGATTATGGATTATGATTAAAACATTTATAAGTCTATAAAAGGTCTTACTACTTGCACCCCTGCAATTCCAAAAAAGGCAGTTCATCAAAGTACTGTTTTAGAGTTATGTGCATCTTAAGGATGCTGGGTTAAAACTAGAGGCAAAGAAGCCTTAAAAGAATTAGATTCCTCAGAGTGAAATCTATATAGATCCATTACTAAATGGTCATCAGGGGGTCTATCAATAGGAAATTAAATTTAGCCTCTACTTATCCTACCAAATCATATCAGAATGTAAACCAATAATGTCTTGAATGAAATGCCCTAACTTAAGATTTTCTTGGATATTCTTTTGAAAAAATTTCATTAAGAGAAGAGTATCCATGCTATCATTATTCTCGGCAATTTCATGAACCTCCTGATCATCACCCTGACACTCGGTCTTAACAACTTTCTCCTTATCAACATTCTCATTCTTATATGAAGGCTTGGCTCTGTTAGTTTTTTTACTAGGTTCTTTAGATTTGATACTGCTATAGATTTTAGCATTCATATTTTGACTAAACCTGGTCCTTAAAGACTGTCTTAATATTTGGCTGAGTGTCTGTATGACTAAGGTTCTCAAGGCCAAAATCCTGGCTATTATCTTGATCAACAACTCCTAGAATATTAAACCTAGACCCCAATTGGGGTTCTTTCTTCCTACCATGGGTCATAGGTCGCCCAGTAAGGAAAGGAAAATTTTCTTTTTTCTTAAAAGATTTTTTAGCTAGCATCCAAGGACTAAACTAGTCCTTGATTAGGATAGAATTAACAGCCTGATCAGACATTTCTAAATCATTAACTACAACACTTTGGTTTTTCACTTCCCCATTAACCATGTTAATAACACAATTCTTAGTTAGCAGTTGCTCAGAGTCATCTTGACTATGATTAGTACCCTTTATACACTGATCTTGCCTATGACCATATTTGCCACAATTAAAACATATAAGATGCAAGTCTTCATACTCTACTTTAAACTCATGGCCTAAAACCTTAAACGTTGGAATAAGATTTTTACGCAGGTCTCTTTCAATATATATTCGAGCAAATTTCCTTTGGAAACTAACAAAGTGTGTGGGTTAACTTTTAGCATTGATCCTAAGCAATTACCTACTTACCATAAGAATTTATTGTTGTAGAGCTCTAAGAGGAGATCAGGTATATGCACCCAAATCGCAATCTTTTTCAAGGCCTAGTCTTTAGGTCTAAAAAGGGGTTGCCATCTCTGGACTAATAGGTAATGGTCTAGGATTAACCAAGTCCCTTCAAAAAAAGCTTGTTTATAGTCTTCTGTATTATCAAATTTTACTAAGAAAAAATCATTATTAAGGTATAGAATTTTTAAGGTTCCATTCTTACCCCAAATTTTACCCAATTTCTGGTTCAGGTATGTGAAACTAGCAGATTTACCTAAAAGCTTAACAGTCAATGTTAGCTTCCAAAGTGAGCACCAATTCTCATAATCTTCAAGAGGAATTTTAATGTCAAGGCAAAGGTCACGTGTATCAGATAGAGTTATTATTATCATCAGTATCACAGGGAATATTGAAATCTTTTAAGACATATTTTAGTATTTCTTCATCATTTAGAGTAAGATCTATATCACACGACTCTAGGACTTTATCCTTATAAGAGCAAGATTTAGAAAGATTGGTTAAGGAAGACACCTGATTTGATACCAACTTACCAGAACCCAGATCATTCTGCATGTGCGAGATTGTTTCCTCCAGTGGGTACTCACCCTCCATCTTGACCTTTTTAGTACTTTAATTTAGCAGATCCAGTTCTTTGGTGGACCTCTTCTCAACCTCATGACGTTCTACCTCTCAGATCTACTGGAGCCTTGACTAATAGAGTAGAGCCTCTTTCATATCTAGCCTTTTTGGAAGATCTTCACCTTGTCGGTTCTTCACCCCCCGCTATGGGCTACTAGGATAAGAAATCTCAGTAGCGCCTCTTTGGTCAAAAAAGAAAGAAAAGGGAATTAAAGATCTTGAAGCTCTAGCCACTCGTGAGAGAATAGTAATATTCCCACATCAATCTATTTTATATTCTGATAGATTTTTCTTTTTCACTTTATAAGTTATACGTGTTTTAGTAACCATTATAAAGTTATTAACTAATTCAATATCAACAAAATATTACAATTAATAATTGTTGATTAAAAACATTTATCATGTAATCAATATTTTCATTGTTACATATTTAAAAATTAATATATTTTTTTCAAGAGATACTGTAAATCTACTAGTAATATTTATAATAATTTAATTTCTTGAAAATTTTAATTTTAAAGAATTTTTGTTCAGTTCATAAAGCTAATGTTATATTTTATTTGTTTCATTTTTTTATTATCTTAAAAAATATCAGACCTTTTATTCCTTCGTATTCTACCATTTGAAAAAATAACAACAATGACTTAACTAATTTTAAAACACAATCTATTAAAATTTTCAAATTTAATAATAATCATGACAATAAAATAAATTAACACAGTACAATAATAATTAATAATTTAAACTCAAAATAATTAAACAATACAACAACAACATTATTATAACAAAAATAATAATAATTGTAGAACAATAAGTTATCAAACAAGTTTAGAGTAGTTCACAAAGATAAACACAAAGGTATTAGTGACATAGAACATATATCCTTGACTTACTCCGAGTGAATTGAAGCGTCTACTGGCTTCAAATGATTGGATTATTTCCTGATTATCAAGGACGAGGGAATCATATGCAAACTACAATGGCAACTCATGCTATAGGAAATGAATCCTCTGTAATAACATTTTTATTATATTATTATATTCATTTAAATTATATTGATATGATATTAAATTTTATGAAATAATATATTTCAATGGTTAAATTTAAAACTATTAAGATAATAAGTATGAGTAAAGTAAAAAGAAATATACAAGTATGAGTAATATACTATCAGCAATACAAATTAAAAATCTACTTACGTGTGTGAAATTATTTGAATTCCACGCGATGAAATTGGTTTGCCTTTAGGTCAACATTTGCATACTAAAATTGAGATTAGGACAGTGGTTACATACTATTTTTAACTACATCACGTAGTGGCAAGCACTCGTAGATCAAAAACTGCATGAGACATGTGATGGTATTTTTTAATGGTCATGAATTTCTTAGGCTACTATATTGTAGAATAGTTAACTCACGTGAGAACCATAATATGTTATATGAACCCGGCTCGGGTAGGTAACAATTTTCTGATGTAACAACTCAAAGTCTTCGCTTTCCGACTCCACCGACATCCGAATGTGAACCCGTGTAAACAGTTTTCGTTGCAATAAAAATTGGCCCACATCCTATACACCAAGTAATTGTCTAACAAATTTAAAGTTTTATTATTAGCTTTTAATTTTATACAGTAATATTATTTTAAGTTTTAGTTTCATTTTGAAACTAAATCAACTGATTTTTTTTTTTAAATTTTAAAACTCAAATACTCAGTTGATACGTCTTATATGATCTCAGTTAATTTTAAGAGTTTACATGCATTATGGTTCAATTCTATTATTACGATTGCTGATGTGATCGCTTACATCATCTCCCAAGTCTAACCCATTGATGCTGATGGAGACGTGGAGTCTTCGTCATAGCCTATCCTGCTTTTTTCTAGATTGTTCTCTGCAATTTCTGTGTAGTTACATCTGTATGCATTAATTGATTAGTACTATTCCTTTTTCTTTTAAAGGCATAAACTAAATATTATATTATTAATAAATTAATTTCCCGGTTCTATAAAGCCGGAAGTTCGTGTGACACCGAAACCAGAATTAGCCCTTAGAATTGCCAATTGCTTAAGAGTCTTTGAAAAGTGTTGCAATGGCTGAAAATCTTGGAGAGGTGAAGCTTTTGGGAGTTGTGGGAAGCCCATTTGTTTGCAGGGTTCAGATTGCCCTTAAGTTGAAAGGAGTTGAATACGAATTTATTGAAGAGAATTTGGCAAATAAGAGTGATCTGCTCCTCAAATACAACCCAGTTTACAAGAAGGTTCCTGTGTTTGTTCACAATGGGAAACCCATATCAGAGTCCCTTGTGATTGTCGAGTACATTGATGAGACTTGGAAAAACAACCCCATCTTGCCCTCTGAACCATACCAAAGAGCATTGGCCCGTTTCTGGTCCAAGTTCATTGATGACAAGGTAATTCTCAAGTTTTCTTATTTTCTTGCTTTGAACTGATATCCCCCAAAATGACCTTCAATGTCAACCATGGATTTTTTTTTTTTAATAAACTCTAGTCATTGATATGAAGTATCTTAAATTATTATGATTTGTAAATTTTATGGAATCGTACAGGAATTTGGTAGAATTTTTAATTTGGTGAATAGAAAATATATTATATGACCGAGAATCTAAATTCTGTTTGTTCTAATTATTTTATAACATAAACATTATTAACAAATAGTTCGATTTGTGAAATCAGATTGTGGGTGCTGCATGGAAAGCTGTTTTCACCGCTGATGAGAAGGAGCGTGAGAAGAATTTGGAAGAATCATCTGAGGCTCTGCAATTTCTTGAGAACGAGCTGAAGGACAAGAAGTTCTTTGGAGGAGAGGAGTTTGGCTTGGTGGACATTGCTGCTGTCTTCATAGCATTTTGGATTCCTTTGATTCAAGACATAGCAGGGTTGAAGATATTCACTAGTGAGAAATTTCCTAAGCTCTACAATTGGAGCCAAGAATTTCTCAACCATTCAGTTGTCAAAGAAGTCGTTCCTCCTAGAGACCCACTTTTTGCCTTTTTCAAAGGTCGCTATGAAAGCCTTACGGCTTCAAAATAGATGAATTTGTGTGTGGGGCTTAGAATTTCTAAGGAGAATTATATGGACTATTTGTTTGTGGTTAAGTTATTGCTATTAGGAGGGTTTCATTTCTAATTGATACCTGTAATCTAGGATTTCTCCATGAAAAAGAAATTCTAGGATCTTCTTCACATTTTACTATTTTAATTAATAAAAAAAATAGCTTTCTCTCTTTCAAAAGTTCTTACACTTGATGGCCGTTTTATAAATTTTGGGCTAGTCTTATCTGCCCTAATCACTTATGATTTATTTGCTGTTGTAGTGTTCATGGTCTAACAATGATTTAGCTTAAAGCCCAACTACAAATATGTCAAAAACGTAAGCTAAAAAGAAAAACAATTGATAGACAAATTCAAACTGGAATGCAAATTCGACCCAAAAAAAGAATATACACAAACAAATACTACCTCTTCGGCGTTTGCTGTTTTGTCTCGGGCCGTTCGGCTTTAGCTTCGTTGCCTTTTGGTGGCCCCATCCAATATATTCTTATTCTTGGCCCAAAATAAATTTGTTCAGAAATAAGTTGGCCCAAATTCTTGTCGGCTTTAACATAAAATTTATTTAGTTAAAATTTATAGTATTTTAAAATTATATTTTTTTATTATTTATTTACATGCATGAATTATAGTATTTTGGAATGATATTCAAACACATGGTCAAACAAAATGTTTGAGTTTGACTGACAAAATTGAAACAAAAACTACTCCAAGATTTCACACAAACCTACCTTAACCGTGCAATGGGTTTGACTAACTCACAAATCTCAATTTATTATAATAAATAATTACAATTATTAAATTTATATTTTTATGCTAGAATAATATTTAAAATAAAAATTTCTTCTTTTAAACATATTATTTTTAAGTTTGAAATATAAGTTAATGATACAATATTTTAAAAAATGTTTTAATAAAGTAAAATTAATCATCAAACATAAATTAACTTATATTTTTTCAGTTTATATTCTAAGTAAATTGTTAAAATCTTAAAAATAAAACTTTATTATTCATAACAATTTTATTTAATTTGAAAATAATTATTTTTAATAAAAAATATCTATAATAAAAAAAATAGTTATTAAATTGATTTATTTTTTTTTCCTTGATGATAACCTATCATGCATGTTAACTCAAATTTATTATAACTTACAAAGAATTAAATTGTAATATTTTATTCATTTGAATGATGAATAAATTATTATTAAAATTTTTAATTTTATAACTGTTTCTGTTATGATAAACTAATTTTTAAGATAGTTCTTAATATAGAATACTAAAAGCTATTGATATTCAAAAAATTAATTCTACTTGTATCTCTTATCTTTTCTTTTATATATAAGATATTGGACTAATTAGCTTTATGATTTAGCCTTGTTTTTAGTTTTCTGATTATTTAAGTAATTAACTATTTTTTAATAATTTTTTGTTTTAGCCCTTAATCATATTATTAACTTATTATGATAGGAGGGGATATTTATTGTTTATGTTAAGTCAAAGAGATATTTGGATTCTTCTTTCTGATGTATCAACTAAGTAGTGCATTATCCAGTACAATATTTTGATGGCCAATGCCTATTCCAGTACCTTTGACTGATTAGTAATGTGTATTTTGCATATCTTGGTCCTTTTGGCAACCGCTCAGCTATGACTTTTCGGTCTTTATTTTTGTTTTTGCTCCTAAGATGTTGGCTGCCTTCAAATTCTTTTCGACCAAAGACTTGTTCCATTCGAGCCTGGTTACGATATTTTGCCAACTCTTCTATTTGCATGTACTTGGTTGCTCGACTACGCAGTTCATCCAAGTCAGGAGGTTTTTTACAAATACTATTTATGAATAGTCCTGATCTAAGCTCTGTTGTAAGGTGGTATACAACAACTGTCAGGTCTGGGTTCAAGATAGAAAGGGCTACTTTCTCAAATCGTTCCATGAAAGTTCTGAGTGTTTCATTTTTTTCTTGTTGAATGTTGACCAATGCCACTGAAGTTAACAGATGAGGGCGGCTAGTAGTGAACTGTAAATTGAAACGGGCACCAATGTTGTAAATGAATCTATAGACAAGGATGGGAGCTTGGTAAACCAATTCAAGGCTGGCCCCTAGAGCAATGTAGGGAATATCTGACATAGTAAAGTATCATCATCAATATATAGACTGACTTGAGTGGTGAAGATAACGATGTGTTTTTTTGGATCAGAATTGCCATCATATTTTTCCAATGTTATTCCCTTCCATGTATCCAGTAACTTTGCTTCCAAAATTGATGGGAGAAAAGGACTACGCCTTGAGATTATATCTCGTCCAACCGAGAGACTAGTCCTTATTTGTTGAACTGTTTTTGGTTTCTTTTGCAGAGCTGAGAACTCCTCATGCTCCTGAATAAGAGGGGTAACCTAGGAGGAGATGTAGGTCTTAATCTCACTTCTCAAGTGAGCATTCTCTCTTCGCAGGGCCAAAAGCTCAAACGCATCCTTTCTCTAAGATGTCGCATCTCAATCATCTTCGCTTTCAATTGTCATACTACTAATGAGAGGTCTTCGTCTTCTCCTCTCTCAAGAAGATCTTCCGATATGCATGGATTCTGCCCAAGTTCTTTATATTGACGCAGAATTCCCCATGGCTGGCTAGGGCCTTTGTGTTGACTCCGAGTTAGCACCATGTCTTTTTGAGGTTGAGGCAAATCGAGCCTCACAGTGAACGCCAAAATGTTCTTATTAGGATACACTAGTCTTCAGTAGTCTCTCCTTTTGCCTTCTGTTGAAACGTTTTCGTGGGATATTCTAGATTCTTCTCTATTATGACGTGAGGGAAGATACCTGCAAAGGCACTCCGATGATAAAGTTAGTTCTCAGTGTGGAATAGTAAAAACTATTATATTCAAAAAATCAATCTCTTACCTGTACCTCTTACCTTTTTCTTTAATGATTATTTATTTTATCCCTTAATCATATTATTGACTTATTATGACGGGAGGGATATTTGTTGTTTATGTTAGGCCAAAGAGATATTCGAATTCTTCTTTTTGATATAACGATCGAGTGGTGTCATATCCAGTACAATAACTATTTTTTATTTGTTGAAAGATCTACTACATTAGTTTGCAATAGTAAGTAAACATTAATAATACTTAATATTTGATGAAAGAGTTCACATGATATATATGTCGATTATTAAATAAATTAATATTAAAAATTATACAATGAATATTAATAAAGATTCACTTAATACCTTTTTTTATAGATATAATATATTATTTAGTGCATCAAGTTAAAATTTAATGTATTAAGTAAATAAATTTATTAATTTTTATTTTATAAAAGTTAACTTAAAGTAGATTTGACTATTTTAGGAACTAAAATAAAGTTTTTATTAACTTAGAAACTAATCTAAAAGTACATTGTAAAGTTAAAAATTAAAATAATTTTATATCTTGACTTTTGAAGTATGCAATGTAATGTCCTATACTTTTGATAGGGTGTAAGCAAATCTTTCTACTATGTTAAATTTTTTTGTTATTTGAATAAAAATATTTTTAAATTTCTAATCTCTCCTTTCTTTACAGTGACAAACATTTAAGTAACGAAAGAATTTATTTGTACATTTTCAAAAGTATAAAGTGTTGTCTTGTACACTTTCAAAAGTTAAGATCTAAATTGCATATAACTAAACATATAACAGGATAAAATAATTTTTTTTTTGTTTCTTGAACTACTATACTTTAAGAAATATCAAAATAAAAGAAAATATACAAAATCATATTATGTGAAAAAAAATATAAAAAAAAAGAAAGAGAAGAGATACAAGGATGTTAAAAATAAAAGAATATTTTAACAATGCAATTGACTTTATATTTTTTTCAAGATTAAAAATAAAAGAATATTAAATAATGTCAAAGTATATTATCTCTTAATTAGATTAAAAAATTTAAGAAAAATTGCTATAACTTCTTTTCAAAGAAAAAACTAGATCTAAAAATTATAATGATTCAAAATTATAAATATTTTACTTTTCCAAACTTGAAAAAAATATAAAAATATAAAATTTATGAGAAACAAAATTTTTATTATCAAACCAGTTTGCTTGTCTAGAAAAAAGAATAAATAATTTTTAATGTATCAAATCATGAGTATGAGATGATAATATTTTAAAAAATACTTTTAACATTTCATTTTTTTTGTTTCTTATAATTAAGATTATTTTGACATTTTTACTAACATTTACATTTTCTTTAAGTGTATTTTTCACTACTGAGAAATGTAATTTTAAATCTCACCATCAAAATATGTTAAAATATATAATTTAATAAAATTTAATATTTTATTCATATAATTTTAATGAATAAAAGTTGATGCAGTGAAAATGTCATTTCAAAAGATTTAGTTCTTCACTAGTAATTAAGAGAATGTTAAACTCAAAAGTTAAAGCATCATCGTCATACAAGTCTAGGAGAATATCCCAATTTGTTGCATAGTGCTAATATATATAAATTACTTTATTATCAATGTTTTCTTTCTTCCTTTCTTTGGGAACTTCTATTTTATCAACTAGAAGAATAATGTTTTACTTGTCTTTTACTCTACTAGATTATGAGAAGCATACATCATTGCATGCATCCTGTAATGGAAGTAAAATGGAAATGAAAACTTATAAATATTCAAGTAATTTGTATATTTAATTTCTATTATTTGTAATGTTTAATTACAATGATACCCCTATTTTTTGGGTCCAATTGCAATGATACTCCTTAGAGCAAATATAATGGACATAATTACAAGCTTTTATTAGTGGAAAGTCATTGGCATAGGAAGAAAGGTCATTCTTATTAAAAACAATAGGGGTATCATTGTAATTATATTTAAAATTTTATTATAATATATAGTTTTTAGTGTGATATTTATCATTAATTTTACTTTCACAAAATTTAAATCTTACATTAATTATATACAAAATTCAAATATTAAATTTTAATTTTAAGAGAATCAAGATTAAAATTATATTTTGAAATCTAGTTCTGTCATTTAAATATATAAATTAGAAGTTGATTCTTCTAAACTAAAATTATAATAATTAGATATTATCCTTCATTCAAATTATATTGAATTAACAAGACATTTTATTTCAATTAAATGATAAATATACTCTTCTTTACCTTGACAATTCTAGCAACACATTTTTTAACCTACTCTATGTAATTAGTTCACTTTTTAAAAAGTTAAAATGTTTATTTGATAAATTAATTAACATGTTGATGTAACACATAATTTTTACAAACAAATATTCAACTTGAGATTAGGTGACATATGTTATCTTGAGTTTAGTAATAAAGAGGAATCTATGAAATTTTATTATTCCTATACTAGATGTCATGACTTTATTATTAGGAAGACAAGATACATTGAGATATTAAAGAGAATCTTATAATGTATAAAATTATATGCAACATAACAGGGATGAGGAACAAAAAAACACTTTATGAGAGTGGATAGATCACGGAAGCATAAATCAATTATTTGTATTAAGTGAAACAATGCTT